TATCTGCTCAATTTTTAAAAACATACCTAATATGACTACAAGTTCTATTATAATGTCTAACTACTAACTTTCATTTCTTTATATCCTAATAGTTGGTAATGATAACATTCAAGGATCAGAAAATTGCATTACATTGTTAAATGAACGGTATAAGTACAATTAGAAATACACATATAACATTTTCTAACAATATCAATTTCAATATATATAATTTGTATACAATATAAAACAATCCAGTCCGATGTAAAGTGTTTAAAACTAGTTCTTCCCTATGTATCTAGGTCTTGGGGGTTCAAAGCACGGCTCTTAATGTTGAATGAAGATATTTGACTATGCTTGCACTTTTCAGAAAGAAAGTGAGACCAGGACATTTTACCTCCTAATCCTTGAAACTTGGATTTACAGGACCACAGTGTTGGGCTCTGTAGCAACGTTTCAAAATAGCTTCTCCTAAGAGAAGTCACCCTTCTCCTGGGGCTGAAGTTGCCTTTGCCTTTCCAAGCTGGAACAGACAGCTAGATCATCAGTCCTTCAGTGCACAATTTTCTAACGACTGGGACAGATGTTTGTGCCTTCCCTTGTTACATCCATCCTTTTTCGAAACACAAAATACGCACAGGTACTGTGTTCCGGTCCATCTGCCTTCAAGTTCCAAAGGCACCAGAAGCGCCCCAGAGGAAAGGGTAAGTCAGAAAGGCTGGTTCTCAGCAGGAAGGTCCCACATGCAAATGAGCGCAGGACAGGAAGGTGAGCCCCCTGGGGTGTCTGGGGCCTGCTCTCCACGCTGAGAGCAGACCTGCCGACCCAGCCTCCCCCTGAGGTCCTGATTACTCAACAGGTTATTTTTCTCAGTCATTGGGAAGCGATAATGTGCTCCCCATATGAAATTCATATCATTTGTGTTTGCTCTCCTTTGCCACTTAAGGGTTGTGAGGGGCACCATTTTAAAATTAATTTGCTGGGTGTTCTGTCTATCTGTGAGGAGCAGGAGGAAGCAGTCCCGTCCGAGTATTTATCAGACACATGCCGCCCATCTGCCAGAGCTAGGTCGAGGAGGATTTGCAGTTAATCCTTCAGACCCATCTGTAGGGGGTTCAAAATGCTGACCAGGAAGCTAGACAAGATGAGGTTTATTTAATTAGAAAAACGACTCTGGGGGTTACTAGGAATCATTGTAAGGAGGAAGGGCTTTGGGCCACTGTCACTCCTGCCGGGTGGGGGCAGGCCAAAAATGAGGATCGTGCAGAGACTGTTTTATGTTGGGTTTGCTGTGGTTTGTTTTGGCTTTAAAGTGGTGTGGCCTAGATGGGGGAAGAGAGTCTCCTCCTTGGTTATGTATGAGCCAGGACCAGCTGCGGCATAGGTCAGGCTGCAGGAAGCCTGCAGCCGGTGAGAGAGAGAGAGAGAGAGAGAGAGAGAGAGAGAGAGAGAGAGAGAGAGAGAGGCAATGCAAGCCAGAGCCGGCAGAGACTGCCCTGAATCCAGACTAAAAGTGGGGGGAGCCTGCTCAGGCCAGAGCCCACCCGGGCAGCTAACCTGCTTGAGGCTGAAAGCAGATTGGCCAAACACTGTTACCTACGTTTTTAGTCCTAAAAATTCACTCCGAGATTCTTATCACCGGTACTTACTGGCATCTGAGAACGATGTTTGAGGAAAGGGAACCAACAGAATTACATTTAAAATCTCCTCCAAATGGGGGGAAAATGACACCCGCTCAAAACTAAATATCCAGCAATGGTCATTTCCTTTTGTGTGTGAAGATATTATTAGAATAACCGGTTTCTACGGGGCTACCGTTTAGGACACTTGAGCAGGGAAAATCCCGTGCCCTCTCCCAGCCTCTGACCCATAGTCCTGGCACTATAAACACTGAAGTACGCTGAGGCAAACGGTGGGTCCCCTGTCTGCCTCACACCCTCTGAAGTGGTGTCCCTTGTTGCTATCCAGATTCCTGGACACTGGTCACCCATGGATCACATTTTTGAGGCTGTATCTTTTTTTTTTTTGTTTTTTTGTCCAGGGACAAAAGTTCACTTTGGGGAGTAGGTGTTCCCTAAAAGCAACTACTTTCTAGAAGGAACTTGACATTTCTCTCACAACTTGCCAACCATTCAGAGGGTCCGGAAGCCCATCCTAACCCCACCCCACCCCACCTCTTCCTCACAACAGGGGACACACGGTTTGGAGCAGCAGGGTCTTCCCATCACCTCCATCTTTCCAATTCATCCTTTATTCTAGAATTTCTGAGAAATCCTCTCTGCTCCCACCTTGGGCACTCTAGCTGACAAAGCCTGCTAGCCGCCTTAGGAAGCTTAAGGCCAAACTCTTCCAATCAAACTTAACAATATAAAGATGTCCAGAGTAGGCCTGGAGGGTGGGGGGAGACAAGCTACACTCCTCAGGAAACAGGTTCAGAGAGAGTACTCATGCCCACACAGGTGGCCTGGCAGCATTCTGACCTCCTGGACCAATCATCCCCTCCGTGGAAAAGCAGTTGGTGAAAACTTAGAGTTCACATAGAACCCAGGAGCACTTAATTGCCTACTTATCCCACTTCCTACCAGCCAGACGCTATGGTGAAATGACAAACAGCCAAAACAAAGCCGAAAGGTTCTTCTGGTTGCTGAACATAAAATAGAATGTAAGTTTGTGAAAGGGAACGGTCTCCCTCCACGGCAGGTGGGCAGGTGTTCCGCTTTTCTTGTTCAGCAAGTGAACTCTGTTCTTTCCGGGAAGGAACATCATAGCCCTGAACAAAACCTCCGAGCTTTAATATCTAGTGGCTGATGACTTATCTGACATTTGAAGAAGATTCCAAAATGCCTCCTCAACAACTTCTAAGAAATGTGATATTTAGCAAGGTATGAGCGTTCACACCTGTAACCTCAGTACGCAGGAGGCTAAGGCAAGATGATCATGAGGTCAAGGCTAATGTTAATCCCGAAACTGTGAGGAGAAAGACCACCAACCAAATCATCATGGCCAAATCAATAAAGGCAAGCAATTAATTAAAACAAGCTTTTTTTTTTTTTTTTTTTTTTAAATTCGTGTACACAGGTTGTTTCTCCCTCAAAGTGGGGTTCGGGAGATCAGCATTGATGTGAGGCAAGGTTTTTATAGCTCAGGAGTAGGGGGCTTCCAAAAGGGGATTTGGTGGACCAAATAGGCAGAGTTACAGGAACAGGACATAAGCATAACAAGCTCATCATAACAACCTCCTGAAACAATGACATGGTTACATAGTGGTCACAGCAAGGTGGTCATAACAACAACCTTTTGAAACAAAGACTTGATGGCCATTCCTGGAGCAGGCAGTACAGAACCATTTGTAGTTAGGGTTAAAGGTGGGCGTAGCCCAGTCCTTGATAAACAGAGGTTTAATCATAAACAGGAATGAACCTAGTTTGTCTTTACTATAAGATGGCTTTCAAGTCCAAGATGGAGGCAGGCTGGTTCATTACTTCCTGAGCTACATGGCAAGACTTTGGTTGGGGGGGGGGGCACAGTCAATTTCTAACTGCAATAAAGATTCTATTAGATGGAACACACACGCACATTATTAAAACTAAAATGTTTTTAATTGTTTTAAAAGCAAGAGCAGCAGTAGCAACAATAACAAAATCACACAAAAACACTTGAAGCAAGCCAGGCATGGTGGTGCACGCCTTTTAATCTCAGCACTGGGGAGGCAGAGGCAGGCAGATTTCTGAGTTTGGGGCCAACCTGGAGAGTTCAAGGACAGCCAGAGCTACACAGAGAAACCCTGTCTGGAAAAAACACCACCTCCAACAACAACAACAACAACAACAAGAAAAATCCACCTTGGGCTTAAGAACAACTCAATCTTTTGTTCCTGGGAAATCTGTTCTTTTACTTCTGAGCATTGAGCTTCCTCCCTTCCACTATGGCCTTGTCTTGGGCTTCTGGCTCTCAGGGACTGTGTCCTGGTGTGAAGGCTTTATTCTTTGGATATTACCAAGCCTACTGGGCATCCTGAGTTTTTCTCTCTCTTTTCTTCCTTCCTTCCTTCCTTCCTTCCTTCCTTCCTTCCTTCCTTCCTTCCTTCCTCCCTTCCTTCCTTCCTTCCTTTCTTCCTTTCTTCTTTTTTGTTTTTGTTTTTCTGAGACAGAGTTCCCTGTGTATCGTTGGTAGTCATGGAACTAGTTCTGTAGACCAGGCTGGCCTCAAACTCAAAGAGATTCACCTGCCTCTGCCTCCTGAGTGATGGGATTAAAGACATGCACCACCAATGCCCACCTAAATTTTCTTTATGAATTTTTGTTTATTTGGGACAGAGTCTCACTTTGTCGCCCATGCTGGCCTTGAATTTGTAATTCCCTTGCCTCAGCCTCCTGAATGCTGGGATTACAGGTCTGTCCACCATACTGGGCTAACGCCATGAACTTTAGAGAGCTAGAGACTGTTCTCTGCTCCAGTCACTTCAGAAAAGGAACACTTGAGAACCCTGGTGTAGACTTCCAGCGGCAAGGTCTGACTTTATCTCGTGTCCACACCCTTTCTCCTGAGTTCATATTTGCTTCTAAGAAGGTTCTTTGTCTACACTCTCTTGCCTTTTAAGTCTTTAAAAAAAAAAAAACAACCCAAAACAAACAAACAAACAAAAACTTAGGTAATAGCTTGTGTTTCCTGCCCAGGGTTTTTGTTTTGTTTTGTTTTGTTTTCCTGATTTTTACTCTTGAGAACACTCTAACTTTATTATTTATTAATTTTTATTTATTATTTTTAGATGCAGGAGTCTCACTATGTAGCCCTGGCTGGCCTAGAACTCATACCACCTTTTGCCTCTCAGGTGCTGGGATTAAAGGCAAGTGGCACCATATCGGCTTCTGTGTTCAAACTTTAAAAACTGGGAGAGCGTTCATTCGTTATGGAGTGCCAGGTAAGAGCTCTGGAATCAGGCTGTTGGAGTTCACATTTAGATCGGCCCCTTCTTGACCATGTGCCTTTGAGTAAACTGAATCTCCTAAATCTCATCTGGAAAGCAGAGGGGATCGTGTCATAGGACTTACCTCATCGCTTATGTGAAGATTACACGTGACCATGCATGTAAAGAACTTAGTTCAGTCACAAGACTGGTGTGTATGTTATCAAAAAAATGGTAAAAAAAAAAAATCATTCATTCTACAAATATTTCTTTTTGAGATTATAATTATATCATTTCTTCCTTTCCTTTCTCCCTTCAAACCTTCCTTTTCTATATGCTCCTCCTTGATCTTTTTCTAATTCATGGCCTCTTTCCTCATTACTTGTTGCTACATGCACATATGTATACATATAGACATATATATAATATTATACAGACTGAGCATATATATACATACTATATATATATATATATATATATATATATACACACACACATACATACATACATACAGTACTCCATACACACACACATACATACATACATACAGTACTCCATGACAATCCACAGGTCTGTGTTCTTGAAGTAACTGCCATAATACTTCACCACGTAGGGACTGTCACATTGCTGCATTATGGAAATTTCTTTAATTATTTCCTGAAGATCTGACTCAACAGGTACTTGCTTAATTGCAACAACTTGGCCAGATTCCCTATGTATGGCTTTAAAAACACTTCCATAAGACCCTTCTCCAAGCTTCTCCAACACATCGAAAACCTCCTCAGGTTGCTTAGTCAAACTGTCTTCACTCAGCTTTTTTAGCTTACCTCATTGGATGTATGTCAGCCTAAGGGGGTTTCCCTTCTGCCATCTCTATAGAAGTGATGCCTATATATAGTATGTTTTCAGGGCTGACCAGTTTGCTGGCTCTTCCCTGGACAAGACTATTTCTCCCACTTCCGGCGTTCCTTAGTCTGTCAAGGGTGGAGGCCTTGTGCCCATCTCCCCACTTGGGCATGTCTACTGCTCTTCTTGTTCTGCTAGCATTTGGGCAGTCACGTTGGTGAGACTTCATGAGCATCGCTTCTGGTATTCCATGGAGACACAATCTCACAGCAAACTCTCTGATCCTCTGGCTCTTACAGTCTTTCTACCTCCTCTTCTAAACTGTTCCCTGGGCCTTATTTATGTGTGGGAGTGTCTTGTATGTGCAGCCGCTGGGAATGGGCTCCACAACTCTGCATTTTGATTGATTTTGTCTCTCTGTTGCAAAGAGAAGTTTCCGTTGCGACAGGAAAGGAGGACTACACTTACCTGTGGGTATAAGGGCAAACACTGAGAATGTAGTTGGGGCTTATGTTGGCTTAGTCAAGTGGTGGTTGTAGGTTCTTCTTCAAGATCGTAACTTCTCGGCTCTCTGCTCCTCCCTGTTCCAGAGACAGCCGCATCTTTCTGTGCAGTGCCAGCCTCGTTCCTGAGACACAATGGTGAAGGTCAGAGTGAATGGATTTGGTTTCCAGGGCTGCCTTCCAGTCTGGCAAAGTTGATATTGTTGCCATCAATGATCCCTTCATTGACCTCAACTACATGGTCTACATGTTCCAGTATGAGTCTACCCATGGCAAGTTCAACGGCACAGTCAAGGCTGAGAACGGGAAGCTGGTCATCAACGGGAAGGCCATCACCATCTTCCAGGAGCGAGATCCCGCCAACATCAAGTGGGGTGAGGCTGATGCTGAGTATGTTGTGGAGTCCACTGGTGTCTTCACCACCATGGAGAAGGCTGAGGCCCACTTGAAGGGGCGGGGCCAAAAGGATCATCATTTCCGCCCCTTCTGCTGACGCCCCCATGTTTGTGATGGATGTCAACCATGAGAAGTACGACAACTCACTCAAGATTGTCAGTAATCCTTTCTGCACCACCAACTACTTAGCCCCCCTGGCCAAGGTCATCCAAGACAACTTTGGCATTGTGGAAGGACTCATGACCACAGTCTATACCATCACTGCCACCCAGAAGACTGTGGATGGCCCCTCTGGAAAGCTGTGGCATGATGACCGTGGGGCTGCCCAGAACATTATCCCTGCATCCACTGGTGCCACCAAGGCTGTGGGCAAGGTCATCCCAGAGCTGAACGGGAAGCTCCCGGGCATGGCCTTCTGTGTTCCTACCCCCAATGTGTCCGTCATGGATCTGACATGCCGCCTGCAGAAACCTGCCAAGTATGACGACATCAAGAAGGTGGTGAAGCAGGCATTGGAGGGCCCACTAAAGGGCATCCTGGGCTACACTGAGGACCAGGTTGTTCCCTGTGACTTCAACAGTGACCCCCACCCACTCTTCCACCTTCGATGCTGGGGCTGGCATTGCTCTCAATGACAACTTTGTGAAGCTCATTTCCTGGTACGACAATGAATTTGGCTACAGCAACAGGGTGGTGGACCTCATGGCCTCCAAGGAGTAAGAAGCCGCCCTGGACCACCCACCCAAGCAAGGACAGCAAGAGAGACCCTCGGCTGCTGAGCAGTTCCTGTCCCATCTCAGTCCCCGATACTGAGCATCTCCCTCACAGTTTCCATCCCAGACCCCCAGAACAACAGGAGGGGCTTGGGGAGCCCTGCTCTCTTGAACACCATCAATAAAGTTCACTGCGCCCCCCCCCCAAAAAAAAAAAAAGATCGTAACTTCTCTAGCCTTGGTAGTTGGCTAGATTTCCAGTAAACGGGGTATTATTTCCCTCTTACTGAGCAGGCCACAGATATATCTTAAGGATATGCCAGTGCTATGATAGTTGAGATTAATATCAACCAAGTAATAGACCGTGTGCTATGTTCTCTGGAGCTTCACCGTCAGCAGTAAAACCTGCTGTCATCAGCAAGACGAAATACAGCTCATCTGCAGCTCTGTTTAATGAATACCCCTCTGCCACTGACCTGTCTGTCATTCCTTTTACCAACAACAGCCGACAGAGCGCCAACTTACGTTCACGGTTATGTAACGTCAGGTACCATTCTGAGCACTTACAATGCATGAACTGGTGGAGCTCCCATAGCGTCCCTTCGAGGCAGGCACTATCATTCTCGTCTTACGGGGGAGGAACCTGAGATTCAGGGAGGGGAAGGAATTTGTCTAAGATCACACAAGGTTCCAATCCAGCAACATGTGGCAGTCCAGCTTATGCTGTAGGCTGAATCATACTGGCTAGGAGTAATTCTGAATTAGGATTCTGAGTTTGAAGGCGTCCCTCATTCCTTCAGCTCTGCTTGTCTCAAGGAAGGTGTGGCGGCCTCATGCCTCCAATCTCTGCACTAGGAGTTTGAGCCCAGGCTGGGCTATATAGTGAGTTTCAAGTCAGCTTGGGTTCTGCAGTGAAACTCTGTCTCAAAAATAAATAAACAGAGGCTGGGGCTGTAACACAATTGGTGCAGTACTTAGTGTTTACAAAGCCCTGGGTCCTAGCTTCGGTTCTGAGTATGCTGGCACACCCCTGGAATCCCAACACCCAGGAGATGGAGATAGGAGCTAAGGCCTGTTTCTACTAGGAGACCTTGTCTCTCACATGCAAACAAACATAATAAGTCTCAAAATCCCCTTCCCTTACAAAACGCTTTGCTCAGCTTCATTTCCGCAACAGCTGCAACTTCTGAGCCCATAATGATCGTTCCCAAAGCCTGGCTAGCTCTGGTTCTATGCTGTTTGCTGGATTAACTATTTGTCTGCTCAGTAGGCTGGTCATCCAGAAGCAGATTGTATTTCTGTCTTTAAATGTTTTATTTATTTTTATTTATGTGTATGTGTGTCCTTGCCTGTCTCTGTGTGGACAATATGCATGCAGCACCACTGGAGGCCAGAAGAGGGCACCCGAAGCCCTGGAACTGGAGTTTTAAGCAATTCTGAGCCTTCCAGTATGGGTGCTGAGAACCAGACCTGGGTCCTCTTCATGAGCAGCTCGTGCCCTTAACCACAGGGCCATTTCTCCTGCCCCGTATCCGTTTCTACCCTGGAGACCCGCTCCAGACTCTGGGCAAGTGTAGCGCAAAGGCACACAGTACAAAGATGACCCCTACCACGTGGGAAGGAGTCCATAAGGAGATCAGGGCAGGCTTCCTGGAGACCCAAAGAAGTAGTGCTTGTTCGGGTGATGCCGAGTATAAGAGAATGAACAGCTGAGGTGTGAAAGCTGGGAAGGTCAGAGAGTGACCAAGAGCCTAGAGTAAGATGAAGCTGCAGCATTGGCATGACCAGGAGAGGCCTTGGTGATCACATTGGCGTTGTGTTTATCCAAAGAGCAAGAAAAACTACTGAGTAGGTGGAATTTTCCTGTCCTGACCGCCTGCTCCCAAATAATAACTCAGAGACTTAATGTAAATTATAAATGTTCGGCCAATAGCTCAGGCTTATTATTAACTAGCTCTTACAACTTAACCCATTTCTATTAATCTATGTGCTGCCCCAAGGCTCATGGATTTTACCTCTATCTCATTTTGTGTGTCCAACTGGTTCACCGTCTGGCGGGCAACTCTTCTGACTCTGCCTTTCCTCGTCCCATCATTCTCAGTTTGACTTTCCTGCCTAAGTTTATCCTGGCCAATCAGCTTGTTCATTAAACCAATCATAGCGGCATATATTCACACAGTGTACAGAAGGGTTATTTCACAGCAACTGAAGGTAATGAAGAGGGGACATGATGGTAGCTTGGACTAGGGTGCGGTCTCCCCGGAGAGTAGATGTTTGAGATGGGTGGGCGGGAGGTAACATGTAATAGAATCCCTCCTTGGACTCCTTCAGATCTTTGCTCAGAAATTTCCTTCTCAACAAGTGATCAAAACTGTACCGCAGGGCTCAGGGTGGAGCCTGCTAGTCCAGTAAGAGATTAGCAAGCACAAGGTCCTGAGTTCAACCCCAGTGGCAGCACTGAAATAAATAATTCAATAATTGTACCTTGTTTTGTCTGCTGGGCAGGCATGTGCCCAGGTCTATTTCTCTTTGATTTTCTCCTCCAGAACATTTAATACTTGATAACATTTTATTATTTTACTCATTTGCCAAGTGAATGGATGCCCTTGTCTTTTTTTTTTTTCTTTCTTTCTTGAGACAAGGTTTCTCTGTGTAGCCCTGGCTGTCCTAGAACACACTCTGTAGACCAGGCTGACCTAGAACTCAGAGATTTCCCTACCTCTGCCTTCTGAGTGCTGGGATTAAAGGTGTGCACCCCACTCCCCAGCAATTCCCTTGTCTTGTTCCCCCTTTGACCACGGCAAGATCCTTCGTTTTGCCCATGGTGGATGCTAACACCTGTATAGTGAACCCTGGGAGAAATGCTGTGGTTCTTTTGGCCAAAGTGTTTATAGACTTCCAGATTTGTCTAGAGACTTAGAATCCACACTTGAATTTCAAAATTATTGCAAATACAAGCTAAAATAACTCCGCTAACAATTTCCACTGATTTCTATGCTATCTTTGTTGATGTTCTTTTTGCTCAGTGGATCCCTCTTCACAATGCGATTTTTTAATTACCGTCTCATGACAGGTGCATTGCAGAGCCTGCTATCGTGAAAACTGGGCTGTTTTCGTCTTGGCTGGTGCTGCTCTCCTTCACCAGTGCTTCGTTTGTGCTGACAGCCTCCATCTACTCTGATTAACAAGCTGGGCATGGCAGGGTTTTCACAGTGTTGCCCTCGTATCTGCAGTGAAAACAAACAGCTCTCAGTTTGATTGCTAGCAATGAATATGGCCACCAGAGACACTTAGTGGAGAGAGACTTTGGCTATGAATGGACAATGATTCAGAGCTTGCCAGGGAATAACTAAACCCTGTCTCCAAAGCTCTGGGTCTATAGCTCAGTGGTAGAGCTAACGTGCTTAGCTGTTTCTACCTTTAATGGACCCATTTAAAATTACCTCTCACATTATAAGTCAACCTGAAACCCTTTCCAGAATATGTGAGATATAGTCTACATTGGCTAATATGATCAGTTCTTCTTGTGTTGGCCCCCACTTCCTAGGAATTGTGTTCCAGACCCTGGGTTTGGTCCTCAGCATTACAAAAATAAGAAAGAAAAAAGAAAGGAGGAAGGAAGATTTATTTTCTATTCTTCTATATAATCCATGCCTTTTCAATTTTATTAAGTAAAAATAGAATAGAGCAACATATTTAATATGGCATTATCTCGGCTGCATTCACCTCCCCACAAAGATATAGTTTAGCTATAAGCATGATGACCTCACAGTGCAGAAGAGTGATATGACCAGTAGGCCATATGACACTGTTACTCAATATACTATATTAAAAAGACACATGGGAAAGCCAGGCAGGGTCAAAATGCCTGTAATCCCAGCGCTGGAAGCTGAGGCAGGAAGATCATTGTGTTTGAGGCCAGCCCAGATTAACAGTGAGACTCTGTCTTAAAAGAAAAAAAAAAAGAAAGTGAGGGAGGGAGGGGGGGAGAAAGAGAGAAAGAGAGAAAGAGAGAAAGAGAGAAAGAAAGAAAGAAAGAAAGAAAGAAAGAAAGAAAGAAAGAAGAAAGAAAGAAAGAAGAAAGAAAGAACAGCCAAAGAAATCACATTGTGAATTTAAGAAAGAAAGAAAGAAAGAAAGAAAGAAAGAAAGAAAGAAAGAAAGAAAGAAAGAAAGAAAGAAAGAAAGAAAGAAGAAAGAAAGAACAGCCAAAGAAATCACATTGTGAATTTCTCCTGGAAATCAGTGCCCGAGAAAGATTTTGCTTTTAGTAGTGCAGTGTGTGGTGGGAGGGTACCACAAAGCCTAACACTCTTGCCTGCTTGCCTTAGTTACCTAGAGACTCACAGTGCAAACTGCTCCTCAGTGACACTAATTAGCCCCTCTAAGAGGGTTCCTGGAAGCCTAGCTTCCTCTGCTTCCTCAGATGGACTCTGCTGTTTCTACCTTTAATGGACCCATTAAATGTTATCTCTCACACTACGAGTCAGCCTGAAACCCTTTCTGGAAGATGTGAAAAATAGTCTTCATTGGCAAATGTGATTGAAAAGTTTTTGCACCCCGATAAGCGCCTCCACCGACGTAGCAATCCAAATCAGACCAAATTAGAAAAAGACCCGGTTTAATGGGTAAAGCATTCCCGGGTGATTCTCCGGCCCCCCAGAGAGGAGACCAGACAAGAGACTGAAAAAACATGTGTCTGTTTTCTGGGGTGCAGTTTAAATGCCCTGTGGGAGTGGTCTTGAGCATCTCTTGGGGAAGAGCCATGTTTGGCGGGACTTTCTGAGGGGCAGGGTCTGGGCAGAGAGATGGGGCTTCCGCCAGAACATTCCAGACTCCTCTTTGGGTATATGGATGCCAGGGTGCCAGGGGCTGAGGTGGAGTGATCAGTTATTATGTCATAGTTCCTGGATAGGAATTTTGAATCGTTGGAAGTTGTACTAATAAGTGAAAACGGGCATTCGCTTGCTGGGAAGGAAAGTTCTGGCCTCTTCACAGGTCCTCTTCAGTCCTCCACAGCAGCCCATGTTTCCCCACAGAATTTTGTGCTCAGAGCCGATGAGACACAAAGTCAGGATCCAGGTACAAGCCACCAGCTTCTAAGACAACACACCTCAAGGCAGACTATGGAGCGGGACAGAAGCTCCTCATTTTCCTGTCCACGAAAGCTCGGGAGGTAGGGCTCCAGACTCTGGGTGAG